GCCCCGGGTGCTGACAACCCACGCTACGCCGCTGTCTGGGTCTCTCCCACCATTGTCCAACCACTACAACACACTGACTTTCTGTGTTGGGGACCTTTCAGCAAAAATTCTTCCAGAACACTAATCTCTTTCCCAATCACAAATAGCAGAAAGCAAAGGCTAGGTCACTTTTACCAGTTCTGGGAAACCACAAGGCTAAACTTTAAATTATTATGCAACATTGAATTTAGACAATACAGTTTTAACTGTCTCGGAGTGAACAGTAGCTCTGAAAATCTCTCGGATGGGAACTGATGTGAATCGAGATATTTTCCAGGATATGTCTCTGATGGAATGAGCCTTAATGTGACCTTTCGAGTTAATTCTTTTAAAGAATAAAAAGATATTAAATCAAGTGTTTCAATATGGCTGTTGTAGGCACGATTTAACCTAAAGCTACTCATGAGTAACATTTCATCCTCTGCTTTCCATGCTCCAGAGCCTTCACATTGTTGCTTTTTAAAATCCCACCCCTGTGAACACAATGGACCCAAATTTCCTGGCACCAATTCAACTGCTTGTATTTGAAGTGGGCTACATGGGAATGCATTGTTTCTCTTAACCTATCATACAAGAGCATGAACCAGAAAGTAAGAATGGGAGATGAAAATGTTTTGCATTGGTTCATTTAGGGTCAATAACTTAATTGTAACAAAACAATGAGCAAACGTTCAAGTTCTTCTGGCTAGGCTTTTGCAAAAACAAAGCAGAAGTAAAGAAAAAGATACTGCTTGGCATGATGTTAAAAGTGTGATAGTTTTAAAATGGAGTTGAGGAGGTGTTACGTAGATATGCAAAGCAATTCTATGCATGGTTATGCCACAATATAAAATATCGAAGCTTGATCTCAGGTAAGAGACTGTATAGGATTGCAGCCTCAATCAGATTGAACTGTAGCAGGTCTAAGGAGGATCTCTGGATGCATCAAAGGTTTCATGGAAAGAGAAGAAACAGTTGTTTTCCCTCTGAAAATATAAAAAACCACTTCTATTTCCAGTCCATAGGGACTCAGGTGGCGCTGTGGGTAAAAGCCTCAGCGCCTAGGGCTTGCCGATCGAAAGGTCGGCGGTTCGAATCCCCGCAGTGGGGTGCGCTCCTGTTGCTCGGTCCCAGCGCCTGCCAACCTAGCAGTTCAAAAGCACTCCCGGGTGTAAGTAGATAAATAGGGACCGCTTACTAGCGGGAAGGTAAACGGCGTTTCCGTGTGCGGCTCTGGCTCGCCAGAGCAGCGATGTCATGCTGGCCACTTGACCCGGAAGTGTCTGCGGACAGCGCTGGCCCCTGGCCTCTTGAGTGAGATGGGCGCACAACCCTAGAGTCTGTCAAGACTGGCCCGTACGGGCAGGGGTACCTTTACCTTTATTTCCAGTCCATAACACTTCTGCATATTTTTGAACCCTTAAAATTATGTTCTGTTTCATTTCTACATTAGTTTGAGGGTGCTAAAAAAAAAATCCTCTCAAAGGACATGTTGTAAATACATAAATGTGCATTTTGATACTCTTTTTTTTTTTTTTTACTATATCACAATATTTGGAGAAGTACCATATTCAGTAGATAACTAAGGTTGCAGTCCTAACTCTACTTTCCTAGGAGCAAGCCCTACTGAATTTAATAGGACATAATTCTAATAGGACTTAATTCGAAGCTACTAACGTGAGTTTGACCAAGCTGTGGGAGGCAGTGGAAGACAGGAGTGCCTGGAGTGCTCTGGTCCATGGGGTCACGAAGAGTCGGACATGACTAAACAACTAAACAACAACAACAACTAATTCTAAGTAGACATAGTTAGATTTGCAGCCTAAGTTCTGATTTGTGCACCAGTCCATGAAATATCGATGAGGTCATTTTGTAGAGGAATTTGTAAAGATCAAATTCTTCAAGCATACCTAGTCAGATTTGACTCCCAAGCATCACCTTTTTCTTTGCTATGCCTTGGCTTGTTTTTGTTTGTTTGTTTCTTTGCATGTTTGCTTCAACTATGCTTAATGAAGAAGCATTCTTATAAACCTCAAAATGTGCTCACTGTTTTATGACATTTTATTTCATCCTGGAAAAGGTATTGTTGAGTTGCAGTGGCCGTGTGTGTGTGTGTGTGTGTGTGTGTGTGAAATCTTAATGGAACCCTTGATCCCCTTCTAAACCTGCAATCCTGTATCTATGAGGGTAGACTATATAAAGGGAAGCTTGCTAAACCAGTTCCTTCATCAATGTAATGGTTTTGAATGGCTAGTTAAGTACCACAATTTAGCATATCCAAATAAATTGCTCCATGCCATAGAACAAAAGGGTGGGCCTTTCCCCCTACTTCCCTCACCTAGCGGGTATATAAGAGAACAAGAGCCAGAGTTGGTTGTTGTGTGAGCTGGAGGCTACAGGTGGTAGGCTGGAAGCTGCAGACAGACACACGTCTCGTTCTGTGCTGGACTTTAGTGTTTCCCTGGTAACCAAATGGAGAAGCAAGTACTGCTGGGGTGTTAATGCTGCAAACCCTTCCATCCTATGCACAGGTTGTACATGCATGTAAATAAAAACATATATCCTTAAGATACCACAGTCCTCTCTGTCCTTCATTCCAAGGAAACTGAACTCTAGGGAAAGTACTTGGAACTCCTGGAGTCTCTAACCACTCAGAGATTGCAGTGGCATATAATAGTATTATGCTACTGTAGTTTTTAGACCTTTTTTAAAAAAAGTAGTTTTTAGACTTTTTTTTAAAAAAGAAAGAAATAATTCAACTACCTTTTTGTTATTTACTGTTAGGTCTTGTCTTTCTGGCTTTATGACCCTATTCCTGATCAGCCACACTACCAGATCATGGCTGCCTTTTGGAGTTGCATCACAAGAAAGGGAATGGATCCCCTTTAAGTAATTTGCAGTGTAAGGACCTTATAAATGTATGTCCTCACTTGGGATCTCAACCAAACCTGCACCTAGTTTATTTTATTTC